ATAGATGATAGATAGATAGATAGATAGATAGATAGATAGATAGATAGATGATAAATCCTGAAGATATAAGAGCTAGACATAAGCTGATATAAGCGTACCTCTGTTTATTGCAGCTTTACTATATAGCAGAAAGAGGGAACAAATCCAAGTGTCCATTATAGATGAATGTTACCAATGTACGATGGTACATTTAATCAGTAGAGTACCAGGCAGCACTAAAGAATGATGAATATTTCTGCAACACTATACAACATCTTGTTGTTGTTATATGCCGTTGAGTTGCTTGCGACTCACAGCGACCCTATGTACAACATCTCTAAACCCTGCTCTATCCTGTGCCAATTGCACTGCCTCTGACACACTCGTCCTGATTTCCCAAGTTGCTGGATCAATCCACCTCATAAAGGGTCTTACCCTCTTGCCCTGTCCCTCCAGCCTCCCAATCATGATGTGCCTCTCCAAGGACCTGTCCCTCCTTACAACATGTCCAAAGTATGTCAGATGAAGCCCCAGAATCCTTGCCTCCAAGGAGTAGTCTAGTTTAACCCTCTCTAGGATGAATTTGTTTTCTCGGCAGTCTATGGTACCAATACTCTTCTCCAGTACCACAGTTCAAAGGCATCAATTCTCCTTCTATTCTTTCTAGTCATTGTCTAACTCTTTGATGCATAACAAGTGACTACAAGGACCATAGACTGTATCAGATGCACCTTAGTCTCCACAGTGACACCATTACTCTTCAGTACTTTGGAGAGGTCCCTAACAGCAGAATTTCCCCTCGCAGCATGTTTTTTGGATTTCCTGACTACTGGTGCCAAGAGTGTTAACCGTGGAGCCAAGCCGACTAAAATTGTTAACAACCTCAATTTCTTCACCATTCATCCTGATGTTGCCAATTGGTCCAGTGGTGAGAATCTTTGTCTTATTGACATTGAGCCTCAATAAATACTGAAAGCTGCAGTCCTTGACCCTCTGCAGCAAGAGTATCGGGTCCTCCTCAGTTTCAGCAAGTAGGGTTGTGCCATCTGCATAATGCAGATTGTTAATAGATCTTCCACCAATTCTGACACCACACTTCTCCTCATAGAGCCCAACCTCTTGGATAATCTGTTCTGCATACAGGTTGAAAAGGTATGGAGATAGTACACATTCCTTGCATACACCTTTCCCAATTTTGAACCATGCAGTGTTTCCTTGGTCTGTTCTGACGACTGCCTCTTGGTCCAAGTATAGGTTTCGCATTAGAACAAACAAGTGTTCTGGGATTCCCATTCTTCTCAGAGTCAGCCACAGTTTGTTATGATCCACACAGTCAAACACCTTTGCATAATCAATTAAATGCAGATAGACATTCTTCTGGTATTCCCTGCTTTCAGCTAAGATCCATCTAACATCAGCTACAATATCCCTAGTACCACAATCCCGTCTAAACCCAGCCTGGACTTCTGGCAGTTCTCTGCTGATGTGCTGTTCCAGTCGTTTTTGGATAAACTTCAGTAGAATCTTGCTTGCATGTAAAATTAACGACATTGTTCTATAGTTTCCAAACTCTGTTTGGTCACCCTTCTTTGAGATGGGAACAAATATAGATCTCTTACAGTCAGTAGGCCAAGTGGTTGTTCTCCAGATTTCTTGGCACATCTTGGTGAGCATACCTAGGGCAGCATCCATTAGCTGAAACTCGTCAATTGGTATACCATCTATTCCTGGGGCCTTATTTTTTACTATTTCCTTCAAAGCAGTTTGAACTTCTTCCTTCATCACAATAGGTTCTTGCTCATATGTTATTTCATTAAATTCTTCTGTGTCTGCCAATTCCTTTTGATATAGTGACTTGGTATATTCTTCTTATCTTCTCTTAATACTTCCTGGATCATTTAATATTCTGCCTAAAGCATCCTTGATTATAGCAACTCAAGGTTTGAATTTGTTCTTCAGTTCCTTGAGCTTAAGAAATGCTTAACAAGTTGGACCCTTTTGATTTTCTGACTCCAGCTCCTCGCACATTTCATTGTAATATTTTGCTTTGTCATTCAGTGCTGTCTTTTGGAATCTTCTATTCAGTTCTTTAGTATTTTGAGTTCTTCCTTGTGCTTTGGCTTCCATGGTGAGTGATAAGTCAGTCAGAAAAGACAAATACTGTATAGACAACTATTTTAAAAAGCCAAAGAAATGTTAACACACTGTAGTAACAATAACAATTCCTTGAAGATATGTTTATCTTTCTTGTCATTTGCTCTGTCAAATTTAAACTTTTGCATTGCCATGATCTTGGCTTTTTTTGTTGTTGTTCTCTATCAATATCCATTGTCAAGCTAAACCTAGTGTTTTTCTTCTTTCATTACTCTTTCAAAGTCCATATCTCTCCAAGGTTTAGTTACTTTTACTGCCCACGTAGATTCCAAATTTAACCATTTATCTTTCACTATAGAAGCTGCCCTGTAATCCCTAAGGAACATGGTTCGGAGGCCACCAGCTGCTCCACAGAAGAAGGATGAGTAATCTCCTCCCATGCAATTAACTGCCTCTGAAATCCCTCCAGAGGGTCTGCTATAGTTCAGTTCCTACTTGGCGGTAAACAACAGCAGAGCTAGAATAGGGAGCTCTGCTCAAGTATTGGCAAGAAGCTGTGCTGCAATCCTGAAGGCATGGGGTGTGAGGCCACCAGCTGCTCTGCGGAAGAAGGCGGGGAAATCTCCTCCCATGTGATTAATTGCCTCTGAAAACCCATCCAGAGGGTCAAGGATGGGTTGGTTCTGAGTCTATAATACATAAATTCTAATATTTTGTACTTGAAATACTGAAGCAACTTTTCACTGGACTTTTTGATTCGACACTTTAGCTATCATTCTTTTGCTAACAAACTTCCAAATGTTTCTATTGCCAGTAAAACTCAAATTCTTTTCGTTAGTTAAGACTTTCTGGGGTGTGTCTCCTGCCTAACTCTGTCTAACCGTCTTCTACTACACTCCCCTTCACTCCTTTTCTGCAAACCAATTGGCTTCCCCCATGACTTTCTTACAATACACTGTCATTCAGCCTCAGATCTTTGGCTCTTTCCACGCTAGGAGATGTTTTTGCTTTAGAGCATGTCATGACTTATGCCTCATGGTAAAATATATTAGCAACAATTTCAATAACTAACCAACCCATATCTCTTACTCTCCAATCTCTCAACCTTCAAACCTCCCTCTCTCTATCCTAATCTTCTTTTCTCATGTATTTCCTATGAAATTATACTGTTTATTGAAACCTGTACTTGGGCCAAGAAGCAGTCCTCGGAACAGAGCAAGTAAGAACTACTACATGGTACAAAATCAAGAAAGGAGTGTGTCAAGGATGCATCCTGTCCCTGTACCTTTTTAATCTGTATCAGAACAGATCGTTCAAAAAGCAGGGCTTTATGAGTACTGTGGCATCAAGATTGGAGACTCATTAACAATATATGATATGCAGATGATATAGCCTTGCTGGCTGAAACTGAAGAGAACCTGAAGCACTTGCTGCAAAAGATCAAGGACAGTAGACTTCAATATGGATTGAAGCTCAACATCAAGAAGACAAAGATTCTCACACTGGGCCAACTGGAAGTACCATAATAGATGGAGAAGAGATAGAGTTTGTTAGCAATTACCACTTGCTTGGAGCCACAATCAACACTCTTAACACCAGCAGTCAGGAAGTCAAAAGACGAATTGTATCATGGACCTCTCCAGAGCGCCGAAGAGCAACAATGTCAGTCTAGATAAAAGGTGCGCCTAATCCAGGGCATGGTTTTCTTAATTCCTTGTTATGCTTCAGAAAGTTGGACAATGACTAAGGATAATAGAAGAAGAATTGATGCCTTTGACTTGTGCTTCTGAAGAAAAGTCTTAAACATATCATGGACTGTCAAGAAAACAAATAGTTTTGTCTTGGAGAGGCTTGTCTTGTCTTGTCTCTCCTTAGAGGCTAGAATTTTGAAGCTCAGACTCACTTTGGGCATGTGGCCAGGAGAGATCTGTCCTTGGAGAAGCACATCATGCTTGGAAGCATGGGTGGACAGCACAGGAGAGGGAGATCCCAGATGAGATGGACTGATACAGTTAACTGGGGTGATGAGATTTGGTGTCAGAATTAGTGAGACTGGCTCAGGACAGGGAAGCGTTCAGAGTATGTAGGGTCACTGTGCTTCGCTGGCGACTCAACCAATAGCATTCTGTGACAGGTTTGGGAGCAGAGAAGTGGCATCCAATTCCTAAACAACTTGCCTCCAGAAACTCAATAAACTTTGATAAATGCCGTTAGTTGTAGAGGGGTTTCAGGCCTTTTGTTCATAGGTTCGCTGAGTTGTGTTCGATTCAAAGGCAATCAACAACAACAACGTTGTTAATGTATTTTAAACACCTCATTAGGGTGTTACAAACTTCATAAAAGCAGGATCTTTATCTTCTCTATTGCTGTAAATTCAGCAACTAGAACAGCACACAGGATTGCAAATAATTAATGCTGAATTAATGCAATAATGAGTAAAATGTATAAGGATTTTACTCCTTCTTAAATTTGTCCATAACGTAAAAATAAAATGCCCAGAACCAAAATCAACCCACTTTAGAGCACATCTATTACTACCTCAGTTGAGACGCTATAATTTTTTTTTAATGTGGCTCCAGACAACATCAATTTCTTAAAGTTACCACATGGTATATGTGACTCATATTGAGTATTAGGTTGTTTACTTTTACATCTGTATATACGTTTTTCTTAACCACATTTTTTTGCTGTTTTGTTTTGTTTTTTAGTTGACAGTTACTTGTATCCTTGATGTTTTATGAATCTCCTTACAGATATTGAAAATACATGTCACAGAAAACATCAGAGCCCAGCTTTGTTATTGGGAAAGGAAAGCAAAAAGTCTAGATTTTAAAATTTGACTGCAGTTCTCTTTCTACTACAACATAGGACCTTATTTTATAAGACTAAGTCCAATGACATTATTAGTGTTTATGGATGACTATTACCTGTTAGAGGTACAGAAGATGCTTGGACCAATTCAGCTTTCTCCTCAATTTCATCTTCATAGCTTTTATGTTGGGTTTCTGAAGAAAATTGAAGAGCAAGAGTGAAGTGTTAGTTTGAACATTACTTCTGAGAATTTTTATTATAGAGAGATTTGAGAGAGAATTCAGATTTTTTTAATTTCAATTATGTGGCATTTTGGTTACAATATAGGTTCCTACTTCCCGAATAATATCTAAAGTTTCCCATCAGACAGTGAATTTGCTGGCAGTTTCCTAATGAAGGGAAAGCCAATGTCTGGGATGACTTACCATTATCTTCCTGTTTATTCTCTTCATTTTCATATTCGTATTCTGAGGAGGGATAAATGAAAAGTTGAATATTAACGTTATTCAGAAATCATTTTCAAAGGTCAAAATTTATAAAGAACAGTCTACCTTTTTGGTATATTAGTGTGGAATCTGGGATTTGGAGACAGTTACCTGGAGAAGAGGCAGATGGGTCAGAAGTTTCCGTTTCTTCTTCATAGATTTCTAGTTCAGATTCTGAAATAACAGGATAACAGGTTTCTAGGGGCATTCAGGTTTCAGTAACCTACACATTTGAAACATTTTCCTTCACATTGATAAGTGACCATTTAAGTAAATAATCATGTTCAGCACAGAATGCCTCTGTGAAGCATAGAGATTTGGCCCATTCCCTAAAGTTTCAAGTTGGGAGGTGTAGTCAGAGGTATGTGGCACTGAGAAAAAGACCTTGCAGTCAGGTTTTTCTGTTTGATTTTAAAGAAAACACTTGTTCTTTCAAATAAAAGAGGAAGTAGTGTTTCCATGAATCAAAGAGCTATGTATATCCTTGTTTACATACTTCAGGAAAAAATAAGAACTTTTGAATTAAGAGTTTTGTTTTTGCAAACTCAGTCACAAAAAACCTCTCCAAAGAACACTCCTTAGAGCTATTGCTATAACAATAGGCTGGACACAGCTGTGGGGTGGGAGGCTGGTGGTGGGGAGAGCAGAAAAAGAATGGGTAGATAATGAACTTGGCACTGGAATAGGTGAAGAGAAGGATAATCTGAAAAGAATAGATGAATAGACATTATGTGCATGGCAATTAACATCTGGAGGAGGACAGACATTACAAAGTGAACTGGAAAAGGGACCGGGAAGAAATGTGTCTGAATGAATGAACGGAAACCAATCTCTTCTGTAACCTTTTACTAAAATCACAATTAAAAAAATAAACTAAAAATTTTTTTGCAATAATGTTTTTCATTCTGAAGTATGAAAATCTACATACAAATTAGATAAATATCCAGAGAGAGGGAGAACTTCAGATGTATCTTCCAAGACCTGGGAATATACTTACTTAGTTATTGTCCTGACACTGACGTGCCAAATGCGTTAATGGCTGGTTACCCAATGTGGTCAGAGAATGGGGTGGAGCTCCCTGATTAAAACAAGTTTGGAAGGAGGAGTGGCATCCACTTCCATAACAGCTTACCTCTGGAAACCCTATGGACCTGGAGAGAGGGTGAAGCACCCAAGCATCGAGGACTCTCCTTCATAGGGTCGCTATGAGTCACTTGCAACTTGACAGCACTTAATAACAACATCAACAGTTATTGTCTTGTACAGCAGGATTGACAAACCATAGTCTGTAAGCCATTCTCTTTCTACTATCTGTTTTTGTAAATAAAATTTTACTGGAAACCATCCATCCTCATTTGTATATTTGCTGTGTATGGCTACTTTCATGCTAGGAAGAGAGTGCTGACTTACTTTGATGGGGACTGTATGGCTGATAAACTATATTTATTCTCTGACTGTTCACAGAAAAATGTGAGTCCGCTGGTATATCCTCTAGTGAGAAAGAAACCTTTATGCTATATGAACACTCAAATTCCCTATGTCCTCCCTTAATCTGTGTAACAAATAATGTACCATCTCTAGAATTTAATGGAAAACTTTCACTTGTACTGTAGTTGCTACCTGGCTGAGGCTTATACAATTTTGTGAACTTTAAAAAATATGCCTTATCCTATCTCAAACCTCAGCACCAGAACACTCTCCAAACATGTGTCTCACTATTTGTATCAAAATGCATATTACTTCTTTTTTTTTTACAATGCATTTAAAGTACCTTCTAGTACAGATACAACATAGTTTTAACAACAACAAAATAAGAGAAGTCACTAGTCCTTGAAAGAGCTAAGTGGAAGACATCTAGATTCCAAAAACTTACTGCTAGTACAAAGTGTGAGTAGTTCTCTTTTGAACTTTCCAGGTGTGGAAATGGCATTGCAGTCAAGACTTTAGAGACAGAGTTGTCCTTATTAACTGAAGAAGACATCTCCGGAACCATGTATTTCTTTGACACATATTTACTGAGTGTGTATTATGTATCAGACATGGTTTTTCTGTGTTTGGGATATGTTCATGAGCAAAGCAATTGCTTCTACTTCAAGGAGATTGTGTTATAGAAGGAGGTGATATAGTGAAAAAATACATTTAGAAGATGAGAAGAACTAAGAGAAAGTGCAACAAACAAAACACTGGGAAGACTGGAATGGGATAGGATTGACTAAATAGAGTGAAAAGTAGAAAAAAAAACCCAGTTCTGGAGATGTATATAGTATATATTCTACATGCAAATGTGAAGAAACAATGAAGGCACTACTATTCAAAATCAGCAGAGAAAGAAATTTAATCTACTCACCTAAATTCAGTTCTCTCTTTGGTTTGGAAAGATGCTTCTCAAGTATCTTGCTAGCCACTTCACTTTTCTCAGTGATATTGTTGAACATGTTTACAGTTGTAGCCACAAGATTGTACACCCCCTCCCCAAATCTGCTTAAATCTCTTCCATTGATCACATTCTCTCCCCTGAGGCTTTCTAAAAAGCCATCAAACAACTCGCCCACTGGATTCTTATCAGTAGGATCCCGTTTGGGTGACCTCCAACCTGTGAAAATAATATCATATAGATGAGAACATCACCTTTAGATGTATCATTTTATCCCAATGGTTATCAGATTTTCATGTGTCTATAAGTCATTCTGGCAGAATAGAAAAGAAAGGGCTCTTGTCCCAAATTTCCAGAAACTCTCAATAGATAAAAAGAAAGTCTATTTTTAAGAGTCCACAAATAATACAAAAATTACTTGTCCATGCATAATATTCAGATTAGTGATGATGTTTTTTAATCCTCTCTCTTTTTTTAAAAAAGGTTAGAGAATTAGAGTTTTGAGAAACAGCAATATTAATAAGTTATTTGTGATAATGGACTAATTACCCATACTCTGTTCTTTTGGTCACCTTTGTCATTAACAAAGTGTGTAGCAGTAAAATGTAGATGTATCATGGCTATAACATGATAGGATTTTGTTGCCTTTATCTGAGAAGCTCTGCGTGTAGATGCAGAGCACACTGGAAGATCATGAAGAGAGTGAACATGGAGGTAAATTTCTCTATTCAACCGCATGACTTCTTACACACAAATCCTTGCGAGATTAAAATGGGAATCTTCTGGAACCTTTATAAACCTGGTTCCAAGTCAATTTGAATCCTCTCAAAAAGTAAAATATCACAGAAAGTATTTTAAAATACTACCTCATAGATTTTGATTTTTCCCTTTCACAAAGAGTTAACTAACATAGTAACTAAAATACTTTATGAGCTCCCTTGTTTCTGTTCTTTTATCCATCTCCCTCCACCCTAGAGTATAACAGTCTGAGGAGCCCCTTCTCCATTCCTACAAACTTTAACTTCAAAACACAGCCAGAAATAACAACAACAACAACAAAAAATGAAATTACTCACCCGCCATGGCTGCTTCGTCTCTCTAGACAGGAAAGGAAATGAAAACGAAAGCAGAATTGTATCATTTTCCCCCCGACTGGGTGGAACAACATGTTGATATATCCTAAGTGAGAAACTTCAGCTTCTCAAATTCCGTTATCTTTGCCAAGATCCTCTGACCTTTTCCTGCTCTGATTCATAGCCTCTTTCAGTTTGGAGGATAGGAAGCATCTTGAATATTTTGTCTTGATTTTCATAGAGGTACAAGAATTCAAGCACACACAGAGGTTATTGAACTGTTTTGGTCTGTTGCTTTTTGTTGGGTTTTTTTCCAGACTTAAAAAAAAATACAATAAATCACATTAACCCATGTCACCCCTATGCTATTTCTATTTTAAGTGGCTGAGAGGCTAAACTATTGTGAAGCCCACCCAAAGCAAGATGTATGACTCTGCAGGGTTTGAAAGGTGAGAGGGCCTGGCAGAAGAAACAATTGAAAAGACTTAATTAACAGAGCGTAAACTAAATGATATGGGTCTTCTGAAAATGAGATCGTTATTTGCACCAAAATGACCTTTAAAAAGAGTATTAATCTACATGGCGGAATGAGGTGGAAGTTTGGAAATGACGTATTTGACAAGACTAATTTCTAACATTCATTACCACAAAAAATTTAAAATTACCAATTAGTCAGAGAATATGAAAAATTACTTCTCTAAGGAAAACATTCAGATTATTAATAAATGCATTAAAAAGAATGTCCAAAATTATTAGCTGTTCAGTGAATCTTACTCCTATCAAATTAGTTCAAATTGCAAAGTGAATAAAAGCAATGATATGAAGAACTCACCAATAATAACAAATTCGAATTAGACAGGAAACAACAAACGCTGGCCAGAGAGTAAAGAGAATAAACTTTCATACCCTGCTGGTGGGAATGCAAAATGGAAGAAGCACTATGGAAATTAGTTTCGCGTTTCATTAGACATTTGAAAATAAAAATACAACTTGATAAATTGCTGCAACACAAATTGACACACTCACATTCATTTTTAGTATGGTACTATTTATTGCAATATCGAAGAGTTGGGAATAACCCGTGTGCATCAACAGAGAAAAGGCTTATAAAACCCTGTTACATTCACACAGTAGAGTATTATACATCAATTAAACAATGACCAAGAATTTGTGAAATTCTGTACTACGTGGATGAATCTAGAAAAAGCTTACACTAATTGACATAAATCAGTCATGAAAGTCCATTTATGACATAATATCACTAATGTAATGCTAGGGAAAAGTTTATTCTTATTGTTAAGTGTTGTCAAGTTGCTTGTGACACATATTAACCCTATGTACAACAGCTCTGAACAGTTCTATCCTCAGCCAACCTCATTGGTTCCAACACACTTATCACCAGCACGCTAGTCAGTGAGTCAATCCATCTCATTCAGGATCTTCCTCTCCTGCGCTGTCTCTTCACCCTCCCAAGCAATATGTTCCTCTCCAAGATGTTCCTCTCCATGATGGTCCCTCCTTGCAATATTTCCAAAGTATGTCAGACAGAACCTCACAATCCTTGCCTCCAAGGAGAGGCACTGGATTCACTGTGTCCAGGCTGACCTTATTTGTTCTCCTAGCAGTCCATTGTATATTCAATACTCTTCTCTAGCACCACAACTCAAAGGCATGAATTCTCCTTCTGTCATCCCTAGTCAGATTAACAAGGACAACAATAGAGGGGATAATGGTAGAAGATGTAATAAATAGATAAATTATGTCAAAGGAAAGGCAACATACAATAAGCATTTATTTTAAGCATTTTAATTTATAAATTTTAATGCCTTAAAACACAGTATCTATGAATAACTAAATGAAAATAAAATATGGTCTACAAGTTTTCATTAAATCAATTTTTTTAAAAAATTGAAAAGAATTAAGATTAAGTAGTAAAGAATAACACCAAGGAGGCACTCATTTCTTACAATAAACCAGGAGACCCCTCCCCACTGCCCAGTGGAAACCGCTGCACCACCATCCTATGAAGACTGTCCAGCTGCGTGGAGCCCTCCCCCACCCCCCCCAGTGCTGCCCTGAGGTTCTGTGCCAGGAGCACCAATATCACAAGTACAGCCATTTCCTTCTGGAACAACACCTCAATTCCCCTGGTCCCTCCCAGAGCCAGTACTTGAGCTGTGGACCCTTTGGACCCTGCCTGTGGCAGTTGCCTGGCAGAGAAGGCTGCTAATTCACAAACCATCTCTCTCCCCAATGGAAGCAAGTCTTCGCTTGAGTCAAAGGACCAGAAAGAAGTTCAGGCAGGGTGAGCTGCCTTTCTTTCCTCTGGAGCACTGAGCTTCTGAACCTAGGTTATCAGACCAAGGGCTAGCTAAGGAATGAGATACTAAAAACTCTACCACAGCATGACATGGACAAGCAGATTACCTGACACCATACAAAAAATCAAAACAAGATGGCATGGCAAAAAACCAATCAAAACACAGAATCAATGGGTTTTCTGAATTCTGAAAGTCTGATGGGACTTTCTGACACAGAATTCCAAAGAACAGTAATTGAATATTTTCAATGGTGAAAGAGAAATTTGAAGACTAACAGGACTCTGCAGGCAAAAGTCAAGAGGAACTTAGAAAAAACAAAACTAAAAAAAAAAAAAGTCCAAGACAATACAGATAAAAGAAACAAGACATTAGAGGCTCTTGGATAAAAAGAAACTACAAAATAGTATATGAGGACCAATGTTTCAAATACTGTAAACATGTTGGAGGGGCAGATGAGCAGGGTTGAAGAGATGGAACACAGAACCAGTGAGATAGAAAATTGAATTCTTAGCACTGATCTGCTAGAACAAAAAGCAGAATCAAAAAGACAGGAAAAGGAAGAAAGACTAAAATGTTGGACAGCATCAAGAGGAATAACATATGCATAACTGCACATAATCAGGCGGTAAGGAGACCCATTGCACTGGGAAAATCTGCAGTTAGGGACCTTTCCAAATTATTGAGGAATAACATGTGTCTGATTCAGGTCATAGTCTTTCCAGTTACTAGCTATGCATCTGAGACCTAGACAATGAATAAGGAAGACAGAAAAAGTATTGACACTTTTGTGCTATGGTGTTGGAGAAGAGCACTGAACAAACCATGGATAACCAAAAGAACAAACAGATATGTCTTGGAGGGAGTGCAGCTGGAATGCTCTTTGGAGGCAAAAATGATGAGGATTCACCCCCTCCCATACGTTGGACATGTTGCTTGGCGGGTGGACTGATACGATGACTGCTGAAATGGGTTCTTGTGTGTCAGAAAATGTGAGGATGGCATGACGATTTAACTAAATACAAATATTTTTTTTAAAAAGAAGGAAAGTGTGAGGACGGAGCAGGACAGAACAGGGTTCAGATCTTTGGTTCATGAGAGTCGCTATGAATCATGCTCAACTTGATGGCACCAAAGGGGAGTAATACCAAGGACTACAAACTTCATCACAGAAAAGCTTGGAAGGACTCTAGAATCGCTAATCCCCAATCTGAACAGTCTTTTGAGCAACTTGGGAAAACCTACAACAGGAGAGAATTAAGTATATTAATGGGACTTTCTAAGAATGAAATCTTATGCACATCTAAAAACTTCTCAAATAGGATAAAAAGGAAACCCACAGACTGGGAAAAAATATTTGGTAATGATATATCGGATATATCTAAAATTTATAGAATATTCTAGAACTTCAACATTAAAAAGGTAAACAATCCAATAGCAAAATAGGCACAGGATAATAATAGATACTTCACCAAAGAAGACATTCAGATGGCAAACAAACACATGAAGAAATGTTTAGAGAGATACAAATCAGAATAACTATGAAATATAATCTCATTCCCATAACAATAGCAAAATTCAAAAGAGCGGCAAATAACAAATGCTGATGATTTTCAATGCTGGATACATTGGAACTCTTATTCACTGTTGGTGGGAGTGTACAATGGTGCAACCACTATGGAAGGCAATATGGCGCTTTCTCAAAAAGTTGGAAATATAAATATCATTTGACTCAACAATTCCATTATTAAAAGTAACCTTAAAGAAACCAGAGTTGCCACCCAAACAGATATATACATAGTCATGTTTATTGCTGTATTATTCACAATAACAAAGGGATGAAAGCAAGCCAAATGTCCATCAACAAATGAAAGAATAGAAAAACTGTGGTATATTAACTCAATGGAATACTATGCAACACTGAAAATCATGGAACTCATAAAATATTACACAACATGGGTGACCCTGGAGGCCATTATGCTTAGCAAAATATCTAAATCACAAAAGGAAAATACTGGATAATGTCACTGTTAAAAAAAAAAAGGACTGACATGGGGGTTTGGGGAAAACTAAGAAAAGAGGGGATAAATAATGGACATTGCATTGATACAGATGGAGGAAAGAAGTGTTTAAAAGAAATATGTGATTAGGCATTATTTGTAGGACAACAATCCAGAATGAGAGGTGAATAGCAAAGTGGACTGGGGGAGGGATGTGTGAGGAAGGAGGAAATTATGCAACTATTAATGACTTTTTTTTTAAGTGAGCTGAGAAAGGGGAGTGTACGGAGGAAAATGTGCAGCAATGAATGAATGAAAATCTAACTTCTCTGTAAACTTTTGTTAAAATCACGAAAAAATTTTAAAAACATAATAACCAACTTTGTTGTTGTTGTTGTTAAGTGTCGTCAAGTCATAGATAACCCTATGAATGAAAGACCTGAACACTTGTAAAATTTTCATCATTTCTCCAAGTTCATAGAGTTTCTGGAGGCAAGTTATTTTAGAAGTGGATTCCATTCCTGCTTCCAGGCTTGTTTTAATTGGGGAGCTCCACCAAACACTGTTGGGTAACCATTATCACATTGGCACATCAGTGTCACAGTGTTTAGCATCAGAGCAACAAGTTACCTCCATATAGCAAATACACAGACCAGTGCTATACCACTTAGAAGAATGTTTGACCAAAAACA